ATGTACTTACGAAACAAATGCAGATTTTAACATGTATATGAAATATTTAAAAATTGCCCCACTAGGCATGTAGTTGAAAAAACTTCTAAAGAATAAGAACATGTTTCAAGGGTTTTTCCCCTTATTTCAAAGCTGCAAAACTCCCCATGCCTTTTAGCACTTCCTGTCTACATGCACTCACATGCACTGGACTGGCTGTCAATAATGGACCATAGCTGGGCAATGTGTGTTGGCTGTTTGGAATTTCCTACAGGTGTGCATATGACAGGGTGGCAATGCAGGAGAACAACCGGAAGACAGAAAGCTGTCTCCCTACAACCAAATATGACTGAATAGGAATCACCATGGATTCCTTTAATAAAAGATGCAAATTTGAAAAAACTGGGAACAAATCTGAACTGACATTTAACATTTTACAGCTATAAGATTGTGATAACTGAATTTAGATCTACTTTAAAAGACAATAAACAATGTCCTTGTTCACCAAAATAATCTCTACACCTCCACTACATAATGGCACTGTAATCTTTTCTTAAGTAAATCATTTCTTACTGTGTTTTTTCTTTCCTTCTGTAGCAACCTCCATGAGCTCCTGAATATTTGTTTGGAATGAGCAGTGCACATTAGCTGAGCATTGCTGTATGCACACTACAAATCCCATGATTCATAGTTCATAGTCCCTAGTCCATCTTGGTAGCATGCAATAGTGTGTGGCTGTATTTCTACATACATCGGGACCCCAAATCTAGTCACCTTTCCACAGGAAGTTTGACCATAGCAGCAAAAAAAAAAAAAAATGTGGAGGAGGCTGAGAGCAATAAAAGGTAATTGTTTGAATATATACGTAAAGTGGTTCTAAAGGCTCAAGGTTTTTTACCTTCATGCATTCTATGCATAAAGGTAAAAAACCTTCTGTGTGCAGCATCCCCCCAGTCCCCCCTAATACTCACCTAAGCCCCCTCTCAATCCAGCTATGTGCACTGGAGTCTCCGCTATTACGAAGTTACATAGTTCGTCTTGCTGAAAAAAAGACAAATGTCCATCCAGTTCAACCATTAAAAAAAAAAAAAAAAGTTATAATCCTATACCCACAGTTGATCCAGAGGAAGGCAAAAAAAACCATCAAAGCATGATCCCATTTTCTCAGATATTGCTCAGGAAATCGGATATTCCCTGGATCGACTTTACCTATAAATGTTAGTGTCACAAATGTGCGCAACAGAGACTGACGCAGACTTGATCTTGCTAAGGGTATCCATTTCTCCCCTTTCGAATTGTGCAAGAAGCTAAGTCACCACTTCCTCATTAACACTGGGAGGCCTATAACAAACTCCAATGATTACCTTTGTAGTATGCACCCCCATGTGCAGTTCCACCCATAATACTTCAGTCTCCTCACACTCTCCATCAACTAGGTCCTCTTTCACACTCGCTCTGAGATCACTTCTCACATAGAGACATACACCACCACCTTTCCTATTTACCCTGTCTCTCCAAAATTACTCCAGGACTCCCGCTTCTCATTGGATGAGACAGAAGCAGGAGCCATTGGCTCCCACTGTTGTCAATCACAGCCAGTGAACCAATGAAAAAAAAAGAAGGGGTGGGGCCGAGCCGAGGCTCCGTGTGTGCATGGACACACGGAGCAGTGGGTGCCCCCATAGCAAGCTGCTTGCTGTGGGGGAACCCGATAGGAGAGCCAGCAGGGGACCGGAGAAGAGGAGGATCCAGGCTGCTGTGTGCAAAACCACTGCACACAGCAGGTAAGTATAGACATGTTTGTTATTTTTTTCTTTAAAAAAAACAATAAAGCTTTAGAATCACTTTAAGATTTTTTTTTTTTTTACCAGTAGTAGTGTGAGTTGAAGTGCATCCATCCTCCCTGCATACTCGAGAAAAACACAGCTGTGTGTAGAGACGATGCACTCCCATTCACTTGTATGTGCTGCCTGCATGCATGCAGAGAAAATAAATGGCTCTCCACACTCTATGGGGCTGAGCAACAGAGGGAATGAGCCCTAAAACAGTAGCACTGCTGTGCAACAGACACCTCTATCTTCAGTCACCTAAAAGGCTGAAAGCTCCAGATTCTGCTGCTCCTGAAGCAATATCAGCCTTTAAATTACCCACAAACACAATGCCAGTGACAGAAATCATATTCCCAGAACTAAGCTTGGTTGGCTGGGTTACGCTATGTAGTGTTGCTTAGCAACAAAATAAATTGAGCTATGCACATTGTATTCCATGCATAGGCAACTAAGGTCATTCTTATGTGCATATACTAAAAAATTATTTTGCACATTATGCATAAAAGAGAAAAGACACAAATATGTTTAGCCCATAAAAGGCAAATATGCCTTCTATGATCCATATTGTCCATTCTCATAAAAGAAACCAAAAACATTATTCAATGAAAAAATGGACACTCTGGAGTTTGCATTTTCTTACAAATATCTTAAACCAGTGGTGGTTAACTTTGATATGGGGGGGATTCAGTGTGGCCCTTGGCATTACGAAAGTGCTACACATAATATTTTGTGAACATAACAAAAAACTGATAAGGAAAATTGTAAAAATATAGTGAGTGCTCTCAATAATTAGCAGCTGAACATTCGAGGAAAACGCATAAAAGTCCCAAGAAATACATATATACAAAAAATGCAGCGCTATTAATATATCATGAATGGTAATGATGAGACACAGTCCAGTAAAAGGTGCTCGTTGATTCCCGGTGCAAATGATAGAAATGCGCACTAACCAGAAGTGTATAGGTAATACGCATGTGAATAAATATCCTGAAGATTCCCCTCTCCTTTCTGGTCTGATTCCCCTCTCCTTTCTGGAATAGCTGGAAAGAATGAAGATCAAGCGCCCACGTGTGGTGAAGATGTGGTCCAGCAGGTCAGAGAAATCTCTACCAAGATATAGTTCCCCCTCTCAGGAGCTGACACAGGAATCACTCAGGGCTGTTATAGGTGACTGCTGTCAGAAGGGCCCAGGGAAAAAGCAATAACGTCACGTGACCGCTCCGCTGCCGCTTTTTGTGTCGACACAGGATATTTATTCACATGCATATTACCTATACGCTTCTGGTTAGTGCGCATTTCTATCATTTGCACCGGGAATCAACGAGCACCTTTTACTGGACTGTGTCTCATCATTACCATTCATGATATATTAATAGTGCTGCATTTTTTGTATATATATAACAAAAAACTGTCAAGCTGGAACCATGAAACAACAGATGGTCAAAGGCGACTGACATGCCACAGGAGATGGTCAGACTGGAAATGTTATATGAAACTGCTAGAGGTCAACAATACTACAGTTCCTTTACAAAACAATGCTTCCAAATCGTTGTGCTCCCCACATCTCTTAAAATGAAAGTTATTTTAAGGGGTTTAGGCACAAAATAAGTGCCAAAAAACTGCAGGTTGGGCACCAAGGCCTTAAAGTGATTTTTTTTTTTTAAACAAATATGTAGTGGTGCACCGAAATGAAAATTCTGGTACCAAAAGTTCAAAATGCACTTGGCCGAAAACCGAAATGCACAGTTTTTAAAAATGAATATATATTTTTATTAAAAAAAATACACTTCGATTGAAAAAAAAAATATATATATATACCCCAATTGTTTTGTAAAATATGAAAGAGGAGGTGACAGCGAGTAAATAGATACTCAACATGTCACACTTTAAAACTGTGCATGCTCGTGGAATGGGCGTCACACTGCGGTACTTAAAAATCTCCATGGGTGATGCTTTAAAAATGTCTACAGGTTAGCAGTGTAACATTACAGAGGAGGTCTAGTGCTAGAATTATTGCTGTTGCTCCGACGTTCATGGCGATACCTCACGTGTGTGGTTTGAACACCGTTTACATATGTGGGCATGGCCTACGTATGCGTTCGCCACTACGTGCTAGCACGGGGGGACAGGGGCATGTTAAACAATTTTTTTTTTTTTTTTGCATTGTCCCTTTAAAAAAAATGTAATCACTTTTATTCTTCTCACAAGGAATTCATGCATCTCTTGTGATAGAATAATTAGTGACAGGTCCTCTTTATGGAGAGATGTGGGGTCAATAAGACCCCACATCTCCCCTCTGCAATGTAAAGCATTAGATCAAAAAGAGCATTGATCTAGTGCTTTTAAAAAAAAAAAAAAATTGGCTGGAAACAAGTGACATCGCTCCGGTCCTCCAAGGGCATAGAGATGAATGGAGGTCATCTTTCCTTCACTAATCTCTATGCCCAATGCCGGGATCGTTCAATGGTAAAGCTGAGAACTACCAAACGGCGGCCGGTGGCAGCAGCGACCAGCAGCGAGGGGGTGGGTTTTTTTCAGCACCTGTATTGGTGATTTTTTTTTTACCCAGCGGCCGATAGGGGTATTTTAGGCTGAAACGGTTCGGCCACCGAAATTTCGGTGCACCCCTACAAACATGTCATAATTACTTGATCTGTGCAATGGTTTTCCCCAGAGAAGCCCCTATCCTGTTCTTGGGTCCCCTGCCAGCAATCCTTGCTCCTCCCTCCTGCTGAATGCCCCCATGGCAAGCTGCTTGCTATAAATGGCACCCATGTGGGCTTGCTCCCAAGCTGTGTTTTGTGTCTCCATTGACACACACAGTCCAGCTCAGCCACTCCCCCAATCCTCAATGGCTGTGACTGACAGCAGCAGGAGACAATAGTTCCCACTGCTGCCTCTGAGCCAATGAGAAGGGAGAGAGCCAAGAGAGCACATTGCTGGATTGAGATCGGCTCAGGTGAGTATAAAGGGGGGGCTGTGGGGGAGAACTGCACACAGAAGGTTTTTTACTTAAAAGTGGAACTTCACCCTCTCAGTCAACATTGACTATTTTGAATCTTTATGCTACTAGCAGTAAATTGATAGGAAAGTATATCATATTTACTTGTTTTAACCACTTACCCACCGCCGTATAGCAGATATACTGCTACACGGTGCCACGGGTACACAGAATCACGTGTATATATACACGATTTTGCATTTCCGGGTAGGGAACGCGTGCCCTACCTGCGCCGCTATTCGCAGCCACGGATCACCGGGTCCCAGCCGGTGATTACCTACAATCACTGGTGGGTAGGAAGACTGTTTTGTTTAGTCTTCCTCCCTGTCAGCTTGGGCACAGCCATCCCGTTCAGTGTGCTTACAGTGAAGAACACCCCCCCACCCCCTAGTAAAACACGCCCTACACGCAATTAACCCTTTGATCACCCCTCACATTAACCCCTTCCTGGCCAGCGCCAGTAGTGCAGTTTTTTTTTAGCACTGATCACTGTATTGGTGTCACTGGGGATGTCAGTGACATCAAGTTTTTTCCCCCCAGTGTCAGAATGCCAGCCGCAGTCCCGCTAAAAGTTGCTGATCGCCACCATTACTAGAAGGAAAAAAAATCCCAGTATCTATACCGCAATTTGTAAACACTATAACTTTCACGTAAACCAATTAATTTACACGTATTGGGATTATTTTTTAGCAAAGACATGTAGCAGAATACATTTTGGCCTAAATTTATGACAAAAGTTTTCTTTAAAAAATTTTTTACTGGAAAAAATTGCACAGGCAATCAAATACCACCGAAAGAAAGCTCAATTCGTGGGGAAAAAAAGGACGCAAATTTAATCTGGGAGCAGCGTTGCATGACCGTACAATTGTCAGTTAAAATAACGCAGTGCCATAATGCAAAAAATGGCCTGGTCAGAAAGGAGGGTAAATCCTCTGGAAAGCAAGTAGTTAAACTGTTTTTAAATTTCACCAGGAACGGTAAAAAAAAAAAAAAAAAATCGGCCGATTTTCATCCCGTCTACAGCCGGCAAAAAGTGTCTCTGTAGAGAGCTCGGCTATTTCTTTGACATTTATAGTGGCTGCAACATTGTATCTATTTGTATCCATTTCGGATACAGATGTTTTTATTCAGAAACAAATAGATACAATGTTGCAGCCATAGATGTCAAATCCTCCTCCTCCTCTCTCCTCCCTCCTCCTTTGCCCAAGCCAAATAGATGCAAGCCATTTTTTAAAGTCTAGAAATATTCAAGTTCAAATGTTTGTGGAAATACTTATCCAGACGGGAGGACGGTGCGCAAGGATACGGCACCATGGTTTCTTTTTCTCTTATGTTATCCATCCGTGATACACTGGAGAGAGATTGATACAGGAGGAAGGAGATCCCTGGAGGGGAAAAAGGGAGATATCTATCCATCCATCCATTCCTGACAAGCATCAGTCACATTCACTGCAGAGACCCCAGGTGGATTAAGATCCAATTACAACCATTTATTTGCCATTTGGAAAACCCCATACAGGAGGATTATTTCATCAGTCCTGTAAGGACAAAAAGCCAGTTTTGCCTATTTAGTTAGGCAAAACTTAAGGTGAGCGCATATTAAGACCACACTGCACTTGGATTGTGGGAGTAGTATTTCACCATTGCAATTTACATTGGAAGAGGACTTTTTATGAGCACATATTTATTGATTTCTGCTCACCATTATATTTCACAAATGATCACAAGCACAGTTATGTTTTATCATTTTTATATGATGTTATAGGCAATAGATGATCAATTCCTGCATCATATATTATATTTTATATGTTATATTTTAATTTATTGATTTTGTTTATCAATTGATTTGGAAATCATAACACAAACTATTACAGTTAATTTATATAGGAGCGCGGCACTATTAGTATATTTATCTTTAAGTTGTATAATATTGCCCCCCATAACCTTATAAGTAACGATGGAGTAGGGAATATAGAAAAAAAAACAGACCTATATAAAAAAATGCAGGATTGCCAAAATTAAGTAAAATACAACTGGAATCGTTAGAAATAGAAATAACACAAGAAGAAATACAGGCAGCATTGAAGAGTACCAAGGTGGGGAAAAGTCCAGGCCCAGATGGATATACCGTGAGGTATTCTAAAAAATATAAAGAATTATTAGTACCCAAGTCGAAGACATATATGAATGCCCTGGGGGGTGAGATGGAAATGAGGCAAGAATCCCTACAGGCACATGTGGTTCTTATCCATAGAGAGGGGAAGGATATCACCCAGTGTTCAAGTTATAGACCGATTTCATTGCTGAACACAGATACTAAGTTATACGCAAAGGTATTGGCAAATAGATTGAAAGATCTAATGCCTGAGTGGATACATGAGGATCAGGTGGGATTTGTCCCAGGGAGAGCGGGTAGGGACAATGGGTTCAGATCTTTATTACTTATACATAAGAGTAGAAAAGAGAAAACCCCAGCGGTAGTACTTTCAATCGATGCTGAAAAGGCGTTTGATAGAATTGATTGGGGATTCATGATGGAGACTCTAGAGATTCTGGGGTTGGGGGTTAGAATGAGAGAGTGGATAAGAAAGTTGTACAGTGGGCCCTCGGCAGTTATTAAGGTTAATGGGGATATTTCAGAGGCTTTTGGGATGTCAAATGGGACGAGACAAGGATGTCCTTTGTCTCCATTGTTGTATGTTTTGTCATTGGAACCCTTGCTGTCTGCAGTTAAGAAGAATATAGACATAAAGGGAATATGGGTAGGAGATACAGAACATAAGGTGGCTGCTTATGTGGATGACTTGTTATTTTATGCAGGGAATCCCAGGATTACACTACCAAATCTAATGAAAACATTGAAGGAATATGGGGAGTTATCAAACTTGAAAATTAACCCAACGAAAACTGACATTTTGAATATAAACCTTCCCAAAGGAGAGAAAGATAGGATACAACAGGAATTTCCCTTTATCTGGAAAGAAAAAGAATTAAAATATTTGGGGATAAAATACTCACTGATTCATATAAGAATTTATATAAATTAAATTATATCCCATTGTTAAATGAAACTAAGGGGGAACTAAGGAAATTAGAAGGAGGTAACCCATCATGGATAGGACGTGTAAACTTGATAAAAATGGTAATTGTTCCTAAAATCTTACAAAAATTTCAAATGAATTCCAATTAAACTTCCAGGGGTTTATTTTAAAATAATTAAAAACATGATAACAAGATATATATGGAGAAAGAAAGAGAAAACCTAGATTAAGTTATGAAATGTTGTGTAGAAATAAAGAAAGAAAAGGGGGGACTGGGAGTGCCAGATTTTAAAAGGTATTATAACTCGGTAATAATGTTGAGAATTTTTGATTGGACACATAATTTAAAAGGGAAAAGCTGGGTCAAAATGGAAAATGTATTAAGTGGAGCAAATTTATGTAGGATTATATGGGTCCCCACTCAGCATAGAGGTTTATTAGATAGTATAAGTGTGTACACTTTAAATGTTTTGAGAGTTTGGTATAAGTTGCACAAAAAGATGGGTTGGAAATTTAACTCACTATTAATGCCAATTAGGAATACAGAGTTTTTCCCTCCGGGTAGGGAAGATATGGCAGGAAAATGGATTAGGAAGGAAGATGCACAGTTAAGGGATATAGTGATGGGGGTGGAATTGAGTGCATTTAAGGATTTGGAAAGGGGAGAGGTTTTTATAAGGATAGGTGAGTGGCATTATTGTCAATTGAAACATTTTTTTTGGGGAAATTACCGAACCACTGAGATCTAAAAAAGATTGGAACCTGTTTGAAAGATTATTGGAAATGCGGGGTGATGGGAAACATGGAGTCACTAAAATGTATAAAATTCTCACGGAAATAGACACAAATAAAAAGCCTATATATAGAGAAATGGGAAAGGGATATAGATGTAGTTTTAGATGAGTATAAGCAGAAAAAGATTTATAGATTAATACACAGAAATGTTAGTATGCGGGAGGTGGAATTGAATTATCAATGTTTAGTTAGATGGTATATCACACCAAGTGTGGCACATAGGGTGTGTGGGGAGAATTCACCATTGTGCTGGTGGGGGTGTGGAGGGAGAGGTACGATGTTCCATATATGGTGGGAGTGTCCTAAAATACAAAAATTCTGGGAGAAAATAGTGTTTCTGATTCGGATGATTTCTGAAGTAGATTTGAGATTAGAGCCAGAGATATGTCTTCTCCATAGTACAGAGTTTTCAGTGAATAAATATAAAGAATCTGGTATTTGGTACTATCTGAATGCAGCGAAGGGTCTGATTCCCAAGTTTTGGAAGCAGGAGGTGCCGAGAGTAGAGGACTGGGTGGACAAAGTAGACAGTATACGTAGGATGGAGGAACTTCACCATATGAACGAAGATATGATGGGGAGATATTATGAGAGATGGAACAAATGGGAAGCATTTTAAATTAAGCATTTTTACCCTATACCTCCATGTATACCATGTTCAGAGTATACCTTTACTCTTATGTGAGGGAGGTAGATAAATGCAGAGTGGGGGGGGGGGGGGGGGATAGAGGGGGAGGGGTGGGGGAAGGGGGGATGGATAGATAGGGGTTTTAGGGTGGGGTGTTTGGGAGGGTAGGGATGAAATTGGAGCAAGAGGAACATATTTAAAAGTGTTAGTGTTTCTATGTTTTTAAGAGAATAAGGCTGTATATTTTGTATGTTGGAAAATCAATAAATATTTATTAAAAAAAAAAAAAAAAAAAAAAAGAAAATACATTTGGGTGTTTGCTTTCCAAAATATGATAATTTTGTGGGTGTTTCCACTGCCCTGGTGCTTCTGGGCCTTCACAAGTGTGATAAGTAGTCAGGAAATTTGATGTGCAATTTACAGTATGGCCCCAGAACACCTGAAGGTGTTGCTTGCATGTTGGACCTCTCTACATGGCCAGGCTGTGAAAAAAATCTCACACGTGTGGTATCGCCATACTCAGGAGGAGTAGCAGAATGTATTTTGGGGTTTAACTGCAAGTATGCCTATGCCGCGTGAGAGAAATATTATTTGATTTTATTTAATATCTTTATTTTCCAAAGAATTTGTGTGAAAAAAATTACAACTTCAACAAACTCACCATTCCTCTTAATAAATACCTTGAACTGTCTACTTTTCAAAAAGGGTCATTTGGGGGGGTATTTGCACTGTCCTGGCATTTT